TCGTGTGGGACTTGGATGAGACGATCATTATTTTTCACTCCTTACTCACGGGGACTTTTGCGTCCAGATACGGGAAGGTAAGAATCCATTTTGTCTCTCTCTCCTTTTTTTTTTTCCAACAGGACTGTCCAGCCAGTTTGTCCTGGGAATTGTGGGGGCAGTTTATGAGGCAGCTTCTTCAACAAAAGCTGCCCCTTTGGGTCAGCCCAGGTTTAATAACTCCTATGGAATTTTCTTTTGACATGTGAAAATTTAATTAGCTTCCCCTTCTCTTGTCTCCCATGACTTTTGTTCCAACACATGAAGCGATCATGTAGGATAGGATAAGAGATAGGATAAGATATAAGCTTGTGGTCTTCAGCTGTCTCCTTTCTAAAAGAGCTAGGATACGCCGTAGCCAAAAACAGTAATCCTAGCTAGAAAACGAGGTAAGGTACTTTTCCTCTTCCCTGATGTTTATCTTAGTGTCTCCAGCAGATGAATTTAATTTCCCTTCCGTTTTTCTGAGAGGAGGGGGAGGCATTGTCGGCTCCAGTGTGGATCTTAGCAACAGTTTTGCAAATACATCATCGACAAATTATGCTGGGGAACCATCCAGTTAGAATTCTGGACAATGCAATCGGCTGATTAGAGGTGATTGGAAAAGATGTTGAAACCACCTTAATATTGCAAAAATGAACCCGACTGCTAACAACCCAAACCTTGCCAATTCTTTGGGTGCATCCCATGGGCTTCTCAACAGACCACAGTGGATGCCCCAGACATCTGCCATCTCTTCAGGAAAACACATGGGGGCGGAGGTGCGGTGTCAGACTAGAACAGCCTAGTTATCATCTCGTCAGAGGTGAGTGACCTCCTGGCAGCTGCTTCCACACAGGGGTAGGAACCTTGAGACTCACCAGCGCCTGGAAAATATTTCTGTTTCTGTTTAGAGACCAGGAATATGATTTGACATCACCTCATGGCTTTTCCAGCTGCTCGTGTTTTTTATGGGGTTTATAACAAGCTGGATGTGTAATTAGCAAGATAGATTTATCGTCTGCCATTATGTTGTAAGGAATATAAAAATGGTGTTGGTGGTGCAGAAATCTCTTGCCGTGTAGGAATGCCGTTAATATGTCTAGCAGTGCCTGTGGGAAATCCGGCATGCATTTTTGGACTATGCACAGCTTAGGTAAAGGATGGCAGCTTAGAAAACTGCTGAAACACCAAAGAATGGGCTTGGCAGCCATTGCAAAAAGTTGGGCTACCCCAAAGAAGCTACAGTAGTGTGTTCCCACTAAGTTAGAGCATTTTATAGCTTCCTAACCATCCCAGTAAAGTCATCTTTCCTGCGAAGGATTCCCTCACTCTTCTTGTCCTAGAGACAGCCCACTATGAAGTTCCATAGCTCCATTGGACAACTTGCTTCTTATGCATCGTGGATGGCCGTGTGATCTTGGATATGATTTTTGTGTCTCTGTCTCACCACCACTCCTTAAACCAAATTGCAGTTTCCCTCAAGACAAGGATGAAGCCCAGAGCTCCAGTCTGGGACCCGTGTCCTCTGGCCAATGTCACCTCTCTCCAACCCCACCCACCTTCATCTCCAGCTTGGCCTCCCATCTGGTCTCCCAGCTTCCACACTTGCCCCTGGCAGCCCCCTACACAGGGGTCATCCTAAAATACAAACTTGGTCATATCACTCTGCTGCTGAAAAGTCATCTGTGGCTTCACCATTGACAACGCTAACCAAGCCTCCATGGCCTTTCATGAGCTGACTCCCACCCACTCTCCAGCCTCGTTGCCTACTTCTCACCCTGAGTTGCTTTCTGTCCTCAAAACTGCCACGTTCTCTCCCATCTCTTCTGGGTTTCTCCCAGAAGCAGATCCTGAGATAAGGGGTGACAACAGGTAGTTTAGGTTGCAGATGATCCCAGGAAGCATCAGGTGTGCAGTGGAGAAGTGAGGCAGGGAAGGGAAGGAAGCCAATACAGGTCATGTAAATAGTGGCTGCTGCAGGCCACTGGGGCACAGACCCACCCGGACCCTCTGGGAGAGTGTGTAAAACACACCTCAGAGTTGACCCACCTGCGGGGCGAGGGAACTGGGCTCTTTATCCACAAATCCCCTCCCATCATGGGTTGAGGTCTTCTCCTGGGGGTGTTACCTCCCTGAACTTCTGTCCTGACCCCAAGAAACCCCTAGGGTAAGGAATCACAGGTGCCAACCGTAGAAGACCCTTGCATGTATAGGAATCATGGCAGCTGAGGGGACATGGGGAAGGGGCACACTGGAAGTATCTGCTATAATGTAGAATGTTCTAGAATGTTCTTTTTTTTTTTTTTTGTCTTTTTTCGTGACCGGCAACGGATCGCAACCCTCAGTGTCG